GGGGATATTTTTCTTCACTTATACAAAAATCACCACAGGGACAATTGTACTCTATGCGTAACCGTTGTCCGCAGGGACAACTTCGACGGGACTAGCGAACGAGAATTAACGCGGAAATAACTTCGTTAAACTTTGCACGAAGCGATATTTCCTCGATGGCAACACCACTTTCAACCGAATCCTCGTTATCTCATTTCTCTTTTGGTCAATTTTATTCTTTCTTTTCCTCTCTTTCTCTCTCTCTCTCTCTCTCTCCCTTTCTCTTTTCTTTTCTTACAACGCGCCGCTAAATGGATTCATTTACAACACAAAAAATATCTCTTATTTATCATAGATAGAGCATCCGTTTAGGACAACATCCAGCGTCGCGCAGGAAGTTTCGTCAATTTGCAAGAATTGCAACGCTTCGCTAAGTTACTTGCAGCTGCAGGCATATATTCAACGATTTTTATTTTAATACTTTTTTTTTTCGTTTTTTTTTCCTCTCCCTTTTTCAAATTTTTTTTTTCACGTGTTTGCAAAGGTACCTCTAATAACGCGTTAGAAAGTGATCGAACCGAACGGACACACGGCGTACAATTCTACGATTGTAGTTCCAAAGGGAAAGAGTGTATACGTGTGTGAGTGTAATACATGTGTAATTGGTCAAGCTTGAATTCACCACCGTGACTCCATAATGCCCGGCAACGAAGCACGTCACTCTGATTCCGCGTAGCTCTACAGCTAAATAGCAAAATTCGCGCGTCATGGTTTTTCTGCTCTCTCTCTTCTTCTTCCTCTCACTCACTCATTCACTCACACTCACACGCACGCACACGCACACTCTCTTCTCTTTTTCTTCCATTTTTTTAAATTTCCATTGAACGGAAATAATCTTAATGCCCGTTTACACCTTGGTCGCGATTCGTTGGGACTCGAAACGAACGATGAACAAATTCGTTGAGTGTAAATTATTATTATTATTATTGTTAGTACTATTCATCTTTTTTTTTTCTTTTTTTTTTTTTTCAACCAACAGCTCACCCGTGACAAGGTGCACCGAAGAACAGTGAGATTACTCGAGGCATTAATTCGAGTAGAATTCGTTTTCTTTTCTACATTTTTTTCTTTTTTGGTCTCGTCGAGTCATCGTCATCGTACGACACACAGGGCAATCCAAGCAATTATGGAAATTTATTGTACAATTTGCTCAGTCTTTATGGAGGAAGCAAACGATCTCGTTCCCGAGGCGACGACACGAGGATGAGAGAAGTGTTACAATGAGGAATAAAGCGAAAAAGGGGGGTCTCGACGATCGTCGGCAGTGACGATTGGAAAGGATCGTCTCTCGCTCTCTCTCTCTTTCTCTCTTGCGTTCTCTCTCTCTTTTTTTACAGGATATATAATAAATAAATTCTATTACACTAAAAAACATCTGGCTCGGTACATACAGTTTATGCGTGAATTTCATACACCTGATGCACGGTTTAGGTACATACGAACGCTCTTGGCCTACTCAGGAAACATGGAACTTCACGCTATTGACGAGGCCGCCACTGTCAGGATCTGAAGAGTCGAATTTAACACGTATCGTTATAAAATTTAACAACCAATTGCTTGCCTTAACGAGATCTTAATAACATATACGTAAAGTACAGGTAAGAAAAAAAAAATAAATTCATTGATACTAGTAAATGTCGATACTCTCGCGTCATTAATTCTCAGGATTGTAATTTTGAAGATTGTAAAAATGTAAGTATAGTACATTCAAGGAACGTTACATGCAATTGCGTGTCTCTATTGTCTCTACTCTAATCATTCTACGTTTTAATCTACGAAAGCAATGAGACGAATTCTGGACTGCGGCGACGTGGTCCCAGTTGTGATACTCGATTTCGACTCTAAATTTACGAATATACAGGAGAAATAGCATTGTGTCGTGTCAACGGACAATTGTTACACAATGTCATACGCATACAGCATATTTTTTAACAAAAAGCTGGTTCCTCGAACACGCTAAAATAGAATCGAATGATTCGACCGATTCTCTATTTGAAAAAAAAAAAAACACTATTGACGTCACGTCATAGATATGTGTTCGGAGTATCACCAATGACATAATACGTAATAGTACAGTGAGAATGCAAACAGTGATTCACAACTATACCTAGGACAAACAGCTATTCAACAGTTGCTACGTAACTACAAACTCTTTTCTTGAGAATGTGAAGTGGAACTGATACGCGAGCAGTATCAATGAATCCCCAAGACGTCAAATATTTTAGAAACATTACGTATTATTTTTCGCAATGAAAAGTTCACGAAATCATCAAACTGAACTGTTCAGAAAATAAATTTAAAATTCGATCTTCAAATGTCTAATGTGGCATACCCTCGATCGTAGCGACACACACACATATATATATATAAAAAAGAGGATGAAAAGCGTGTGCACGTAGAATCGCTCGGATTCAGCGAGAGTTCTGCCGAATGACTCGCGTTCGATCTTGAAGGCAATTACGATCCGTCGAATTCCACAAGAGTTCACCGAGTTCCTTCCGACCTAGTTTTCAACGTTATCGATCGACGCGGGAAAGGAGCGTGCTTTGTCATGGACAAACAGTAGTTTCTAGATTAGCACTCGGTAATTCCTGTTTTGTCTCAGGTTGTCCCGTTTCACAGAGCAGCGTGATATCGATTATACTGCGTTCTCCAACGAAAAGAACGCGCGCATTCGGCAACGACGACGACTACGACGATGACGATGACGTTGAAGATGAAGACGGTGAAGTGTGAGGCGCGCGCTGATACTCGCTGCCAATTGCTTCGAATGGCGAAGAAGATCGTCTCTCGTAACTAGACGACAGAAACGAAACATCGCGCCAATCGTTCCGTTACAGAGTTCTGTCCTAGGGGATTTATATCGATGGTCCGTGGTTCGTAGGGTTTTTCAAAGCGTTATTATATTGTCGCTTGAGTATATCTGAACGATGAGTCTTTTTGAAGAGCAGCTCTTCCTTAACTTCAAGTAGGAACAAAGATATTGGATTTCTCGAAGCTTCGTCCTCTTTTTTTCTTTCCTTGGCTTGACAGGCGTCTACTACTCTTGTGCCTTTGTGAATTAGTTGCATAGTTGAAGCAACTTTTCTTTTATCGAACTTGTTTCGCTTTTCACGCTCGTTGATTCTATAAATAAACTGTATGATAAACTGTAGATCACGAACATTTCGTATCTGAACTTTCTTCTGAACTTCTCTCCTGAAAAAGTCGATACCTCTACCTTTGAGAATTCCCATTGTTTCATTTTTAATGTTCCGAGCAATAGCAGTATTCATCCCCTAGAACCAGTCGCGGAACAGCAGCGGTCTTGATGTTTCTTCCTCGTCGAGTGAGATGTTCGCACGTAGCACCGCACAGTACGTTCTTTGATCGAGACGATACGTAAGTCTAATCGATTAGCGTGTTATGTATAAACGTGGTCTCGCTGGTTTGTCTTCTCCTTTGGAGAGGAGGAAGGAAACGCAAAATCCACTCGTCTTTCGCAGCGAGCTACACGAACGCATGCTACTTTGTCACACATACGAAAATATGGTACGGTAACCGCGATTCTCGCGAGGAACAGTGTTTAAAGAGTATGAGAAGGGGAGAAGGGTGGGTTAGGCAGATAAATAAAGGGGAAACATAGAGGAAGATAATCCGTGGTAGCGAGAAATTTCAATATTCTGCAAGTTTGGATAAGTTTCCTTTTTTGCGATTCGATCGATGTCTGCGCGTTATAATAATTAAGAAAATGACGATAATATTAATAATCATAGTAATAATAATAATAATAATAATAATAATAATAATAATAATAATAAAATATCAATAATAATAATAAACTCTGCAATATTTAATATAGATTTGTTCACACGGACTAGATACACTTCCCGCAGAGCGAATGATCGATAACGCGCTCTCCCTCTCGACACGACCCTTAACATTATTCTGGTCTTTCTCCCGGCTACGCGTCACGTTCAAAAGGTTACAGGATCGGGTTTTCTGCCGGTGTAGCATCGGCCTGGTGGAGGGGACAATGACGTGATCGATCGAATACATTGACCATTATAAACGCGAGCTGCGTAATCGGCTGAGAGGTCGTGGTTGTTAACGATCACCACAACGCGTCGCGTACAGAAAATCCTCCTTGTCTTCTGTTCAAACGCGTCGTACCGCGCCGTCTTGCGTGCCTTTCCTTTCGCCATCTTTTTCTTTCTCTCCTCCTCTTAATTTTCCTCCTCCGTGCACGCGAAACGACCGTCACGAAATTGATTGCACTTCGTGATAATCGCGTCTCTTCGCTTCCTGGGTCGCCAGTGATCATTACTCGTCGACGAAACAGCGACGACTCGTTCTTCACGGTCGCACGGACCATCGTTTCGACGACTCCGGATTAAAGTTACGCGCGACTCACCGGTGTCTTCGTCGATGTCCATCGTCGTTTGTGTATCGATTTATTCACCGTGCGGATTCATCAACAGAGGCTGCAACACTTGGACGCGTCGCCCAAGTGAATGTGACAAACGGTAGGCAACGCGCCACACCCTTTTCCCACAACGCTTTCCTGTACCAAATGCGACAGGCCCAAATTCTGGTTAATATCCCCGTCGCTGCCACGATGCTGGTGCTTCGCGTCGCACCACTGTCGACGATCTCGCCACTTATCGTCCGCTGTCGCGCAGAACAACATGGATTTCGGTGACGGCGGACTCACACGATCCCGGGCGATGCTGCCGCAAGACCGAGCCTTGTACAGACGCCCCTTGCCAAACAATCCCGGCAAAGGTACGCACAGTTTTTTATGCACGGCGAAGTACCGACTGAGCAACCGGATCTTCCTGTTCTTGCAGTCGTTTCTATTCATCGACCCGTTCCTGTTCTCCTTGTCGTTGGACGGCATTTGATTGACCGAGCCACCGTTCAATTCCCTCTCGTCGCACATCTCGATCCTCTGACACGTGTTTCGTTGCGTCTCCTGTCTGGTACATCTGCCGCCGTTCGGGTTGCAGTTGGTTTGTTTGTTCGACGGCTGGGACAGCGAGGACTTGCCAGTGCTGAGGGACCAACTTTGCAGAAGCCTCGCGCCAAAACCTTTGGCTTTCTGAACAGTCGCCGCTGCTTGGGACAACGTTTGCGGAAGTCCGTGCGAACCTGTACTGCTCTGAGACACCGACGACGAAGACGAGGACATACTTTGAACGCCTAGAACGGCCGAGTTGCGAGACGCGTGGCAATAATTGTGACAGGACGAAGGACCTTCTGCTTCCTGAACTTCCGTAATGCGATTCAACGATTGACTCTCGCGCAGTCGAGTTTCTCCGGTTCTTCTCCTGCCGGCACGATGCCTCCTGCCGAATATCACCTGACTTTCCGAGCACCTATGCCTTCCCCCCGTTGTCGTAGTCGTCGTCGTCGTTGTGCTCGTGTTGCTTCCGTGATCTTTTCGGCTAGTTTCGCTCGACGGTGTCTCTGTTGTGTGTTCTCCGTTACCCACGCCTCCTCCGCCTCCTCCTCCTTCACCACCTCCGCCGCTGCCGCCAGGATCCTGCGAGTCACTGGAATCATCGTGACTATCGCGTCTAGAAGACATCGACTTGCTCGCGGAGGTGCTCAACTTATGCGCCCTTTTCTTCCTGCTCTCGCTGTCATCGTCACTAGCGTCTGAACTCGAGCAAGAAGTTGTGCGCGTCTTGTGGAACTTGCTCTTCCTCTGTTCGTACCCCGTTCTCCTAACCACTCGGCACTTGGAGCCGCTGCTCTCGCTACCAGACACTGGCAACGCATCTCCGTCTTCCAAGATTTCGTTCAGAGGCGTGGACGTGGAGCCAGTGCTTCCTGGCGAGGGCATGGTCTTGTATTTTGGCGTCAACGATAGACTGTCGCTTAGTCCGCTCAAAGGTCGCAAAGGAATGGACACTGTGGACGATTCCGTGAGAATGGTGGTGGTCGCGCTGGTCTCGGACAGTTTCGACGGGCCTATCGCCGATGAGGAGTCCAACGACGAGGCGGAGGATCGATGTTGCGATCCCATCCTCCATTTGTTCGTCGGAACAGGCCCCATCGATTTTAAGCAGTCGGACACCGATTTCGGCCTGTTCTCCGAGGACCCTCTCCTCGACCAGACAGGCGACGATCCGTCGTCGAAACGGTTCTTCAGGTTCTCCTGGCTGGTGGGATCGAGCATCGTTGCTGCAGGTACTTGCTGATTCCCTACTTGAGGCCTGACCGCTGTCTGGACAGGCAAGGAGGAATCGCTGTTCCCACTCTTTGGACTAGAAGACTTCAGTCGCTCCTCTCCCTCTGCGACCGCAGAAACCACGTTGATGTCCTTCTGCGAATTTCGCTGCGACGACATGGGCTTGTGGCTCGTTTTCTCTGGAAGCTGGGACAGCCTCTCCTGCAGGATGTGCGACAGTTTACCCTCTGATCGAGAGCCTCGACGATTGAACGAGTTCAACGTGGAATTGCTGCCGCGCTCGTCGCGTCCTGAACACGAGGACACGTCGTCCTCGTCCTCCTCCTCTTGGACGATGCTGCACTTTCGCGTTCGAACGTTCTGAAATGAAGAATAAAGTCTTTTTTCCCCCCTAGAAATTCCACTGTTACGTTGTGCATTTTTAAATTTTATATAAATGCATTTTACATAAGTGCGATCTAGTCGTTGGATCAATTCATTAAATACGACTTGTATTTATACGAAGTACAAGTTTGTTGGAAAAGGAATCACTGAATACGTACTTGAGACACGTCACCTGGCGTTCGTGGCACGCTCAACAACGATTGGTTGATCGTGCTCAATGAATTTTGGTCGGCACGTATGTTAGCGGCCGCGTCATCTTGCCGGCTGAAAATAATCGACGCTTATATGTGTAGACAATTGATATATACTTAACGTCTTTTATACTTAGCTGTCTCTCTATGAACGAATTTTGTATACCTGACTGAGACTTCGAGGATTTCCGGACGAGTATTTTGCATTAGCTCCTGACGATGGGCCCGCAACTTCCTTTCCGCCAGCAGGAAGTACGTCGCCGTTATGTGATTGTACTCGTTCTTGTCGAGGGCTCTGCCATTAAATTAATAAAGAACAATTTCGTATCGAGTGTCACCGAATGAGTTTATTGAAAATTACACAGACGATTTGATGTACACGTTTGACAAGCATTCTTACTCCAATATTTCTTCTTTGGTGGCGATATTCCCGTTGACCATCTTGGTGATGATGTGATTGTGATGATCGTCGGACACCTGTTGCCTGGAGACCAGGGGCAACGCTTCCATCGAATCCGAATCTGGCCCAATGGCCAACCACGGATCAGCCGCTATCTCCTCGAGCGTCGCTCTGCCCTCTGGCTCCCTGACGAGCATCCTCGCGATCAGACGCTTGCAGCCCTCGGATACGTGCGGCGGTATCGAGTACTTGCAATCCATGATCATCGTCAAGGTTTCGCTGTCGTTTGCCTCTTGGAAAGGCGCTTGGCCGCATACTAGCATGTACAAAATTACGCCTAGTGACCAAACATCTAAAAAGCCGAATTTCAACGATGAATACCACAGACGAAGTAGAGGGCGTACGATATATCTATGTACATGTAAAAAGTTGTACGTTGGAAATTCTCAAAGTCTCGTGTGGATACACTTTGTGTATTCCATTCGTACTTCGAAACGAGTGGAGGATCTCGTGCGACTCACCGACGGCAGGAGCATCGTAACTATCGCCAAGTAGGATTTCCGGCGCCGAATACGCCAGGGATCCGCAGGAAGTTTCGAGCTTCTGGCCAGGGCAGAACCTATTGCTAAATCCGAAGTCGGTGAGCTTCACGGTGCCGAGTTTCTCGAAGAACACCACGTTCTCGGGTTTCAGGTCCCTGTGCACCACGTGCAATCGATGGCAATACGATATGGCTCTGACTATTTGCCGGAAGTACGTTCTGGCCACCTGTGTGATAAATTGAAAAGTATTATCAGCGGCTACCTTGAGAGAGCAACGGCCACCTTGATGTTTCATCGACCATGTCGAAAACGCAACAACAGATCGAGGGTATTCTCCGCATCCGTAAAAATCGGTGTGAATGAAACGCTATCTATCGCTATTCGCTGACGCAAATATTCGTGACACATTTCCTGCGGCATTTCCAGTAACGAGTGGAGAAAACGTTCCCCGTCTATGGTATACGATGATTAATAGATTCGCTCGTGATTGACAAGTGGTGCATGATAAGTACACTCTAATCAATGGTATAATTGTTGTTAATAGAACTGAAGATGGAGTTAAAAGCTGACAAGTATTAACGATTAATCTCGAGCGAATGGTGCGCGATACTTTTGAGCGAGGAATAAATTTTGATTAAATTCTTCGAAAATCGAGAGAAAACGATTTGTAACTGATCGATCGAACCTTCGTTAAAACAAGTAAAAGGAAATGTAGCGCGTACATACACACACATACGTAGATAAAACAAGAAACTGCGTAAGAAGAACTGCTGCACGAACGCAACGCGTGTAAATTGACTCGGGTCTTTCCCGGCAGAGCAGGATCATTACACGCAATAGGTTCAAATGATCGAGTATATACCTCCTCGCTGAGTCCGCTGTCGTGTCTCATGATGTAATCGTAGAGGTCGCCGCCATCTCCGAGCTCCAGGATCAAATAGAGCTTCGTCTGGGTGTCTATCACCTCGTAAAGCCTGACCACGTTCGGATGTTGCACCAGCTTCATGCATCTCACCTGTGAAACGGAGAAACGAAACGGATGATCGCGATACGCACATCGACGATGATGTTTGACGTTTGCCCTCGTACCCAACAACGCTGGTCAACGACCCTTTCTCTCCTTCCCCCTCGTGTCATTATCTCGTTGACCTTAACGAGATCTACAAGTTCGAAGCGGATCGTAGGATATTTCCTACGCGACACCGTCGGCCGGATCTTGCGCAATCGGTCGTTAATATTTAACGCTGAATGTCGCGGAACGACGTGATCGTAGGAAGCTGCTTCGATGAAAAAGGCGAAGAATTACAGATTCTGCTACGACACTGCCCGATTTCGGCGACGTTGGACCAAAATTTTATAATTGTGTACGTTAATCGATGTTAATGACAAGGAAGAAAAGTTTTGTCATCTTAGACTTTATGACTTTATTATTTCGAACACCTTGGAAACATCAAGTAAGAAAATTTAGAAATTGCTTTTGAATTGAAAGTTGAAAGATGTTTATACAGCAATTTAAGAGGACAGAGATTCTCTCCATTACTCACGACTTCTCAAGTAAAGAGGGCTTTGCGTTCACCTAAGTTTTAACGAACAATACTTCGTTCAATCAGCCACTGGCAACAAATTTCGATAAATGGAGGTCTACCGTAAACCCTCTGGCTTTCACGACTTTCGACATTTACTCCTCCGAGTAGAATTCACCCGAACCTTTCAAACGTACGCCGACTACCACCGGCAACGCTCTCCAGTGCTAATCAAAGGCTTCGCTGCTAGGCTAGAGCTTCTAATTAATTCCAAATTACCACTCTCTACCTCTCTGCTCTACCGAAAATCTATTCGAGAGATGGTACATCCGCGGGAAGATCGTTAGACGAAAGAAGCAAAGCCCTGAAAGAAAGGCTAGAGAGAGGAGGGCTGCAGTAAAAACCTCGTGCTCTCGAGGCACGATACGCGATGCACGGCTATTGAGCGAGCAAACGGAAAGAAGGAAGAGATTAGCGCGCGTTTCCATTTCCTTCGCGACCCGCTTTGTGCTCGACATATTCCTATTCACGCGATGCACACGAGGGGGGGACCAGGAACAAAGGGATGAAGGATATACGCGGTCGCCCTCGTCGACGAGACACGCGACGAGAATGAAAAGGAAAAAAAGACGAGAGAGAGAGAGAAAATGAATGCCACCATATCGTCTATGTGCTCACCTCCTGAAAGAGGTGCGCTCTCGAGACCTCGTCAAGTTTGCTCTTGTCGATGACCTTCACAGCGACCTTCTCGCCGGTGAAAACATGCCGGGCGAGCTTCACGACGGCAAAATGACCGCGGCCAAGCGTCTCCTCCAGGTCGTACAGGCCGGCGATCTTGCCATCGTAGTTGCTGTAGCCCACTCGCCGATGCATCTCGTGTCGCTGAAACAGGGAAACAGCCGTAAATTGCCGATCGGATCGCGCCACGGCGAGACTTACTCCGTTTTCAGCATGTTCGCGGAGGTGTAACGCCGATGGGAACCCTTTGGTTTGGATAGCGGTTCACGTGAGGAGGACGGTGGTACCGGGGGATTGATGAACGAGTGGACTGTGGATTTTTATACATTCGTAGGAGGATTTAAGGGCACGAAAATTTCGCAGAAACTTCTGCTCGAGTTCTAGCGTAAATCAGTGACTTCTAGCGAATCAGCGCGGATGATACTGAAAAAAATGCTGTTCTTATTGATACTTCAATTCAGGTTTGATAGGCATGCGAGATAGATAAAAATCTATTTTTATAGTTCCCCCCGAGTTGGATAAATATTATCCGGTTTATCACGGGCATAACAAACGTAATCTAATCAGATAACGTAGAGGATAGTTAATCGGTCCAATTTTTGGCTGGTGATCATGGCGAAACAGATAGGGATCGTTATTATTATTGTTGACGTTTCAAGTACACATTAAACGGTAGGCCTTTGTTCTCTGATATTTGATAAAAAAAAAAAAAAGATTCAGAAAGCGGCGATTTTTCCGCTCTATATATCGCGCGTTTCGCAACTATTTTTACGTCTTTTCGTTTAATGTTAAAAGTTCATACCTTGAAATAGAAAAATGCAGACTGCTTGTGGCAGCTTGTGATTTCACTAATGAAAAATCAAGACCTTTGAAAAAACAAATTTGTTCAGACTGATTTAAATGACGATCGAGACGTCTCTCGAACAAGCTTTCGTGCATTTAGAAATCGCTACGAGGTTGCTTCTATGAAACTTAACATCTTCCCGACTCGAAAGTTTCGAGGTAAGTGCTGAACGCACTCAAGCACAGTCCTCTTACCAGAAGATTTCCAGAAAACCGTAGCCAGATCCTCCTTTTGCCGTAACGTTTTTTTTTAAACGTTTGGTTATAAATCAAGCTACACTCTCGACGAGCTGTCTGCTTTCGTACAATCTCGAGATTTCTAATGTGTGTTTAAATTATTCGCTACGAGAACGAGTCTCCATTTACGTTCTATTTCTTCAATCGAATATAATCGTAAACAAATAAATATAATTGTACAAAAAGACCTAAACATCTGTCACAATAATTGCTTAAATATCCTAGATAGTGCTTAGAACTTCATAAAACCGTTTCCCAGCTAATCGAACGTAGAGCAAGCATAATGAATTTATTTCCCCCGTTTCAAACGAAAAGGCAAACGTAACGAACGTTCCCACCATTTACAAAGGTTGGGTTCGTGTCCAACACTCTGGCAAATCGCGGCAAGTACTAGCCGTTGTCCGGCGAAACAATTCGAGCACCGCGACTGCAATAGCAACCGTGCACACACGTGCATCGCGTCCGTAAGTGACACAACGAACCGATTGTCCGCCTTATATGGAAAATAAATTTCAACGCCCACTGGACGCGGAGAGGATCAGCCTCAAGGTAGTCAGTAATCGTGCGCGCGCGCGTGTATGGGGTTACTCTCACTTTTGCACTGTGTTTCTTGTCTATGGGAGTGGCGTTGGGGTTTTAGGGTACGTTTACAACGAGAGCGAAGCGTAGAGAAATATGCACGTCCCTTGTTTGGAAGTGGAAGTGGACGCTGTGAAACCTCCACAACATCTTTGTTCCACTGTCGTCTGTCGCTTAGACTTTGGAATGTTTTGCCCGTCCTTTCCCTACCGGTGAAAAACGTACGGTAGTATATATGGCTGAAAGTGCCATTCTGACCGACGTTTTCTTAGCTTTTATCGCGGCTAAACGTTATCCTACTCACCGTAACGTGCATAAAGGTCTGGCTTCCGGCGTCCCTTCCCGGAACACCGAAAACGGCATTTGACTTTACCGTTGCAAAAACGATCGATCGTTCCTCCCTCTCTCTTTCTGGTCGACCGTTTTCCAGTGCAACGGGTTTCACGGATCGGGAAAAAGAGGGTCGGCGATTATTTTTAGAAGTTAGGGTTGGAAGAAGTAATAATTAAGCGGGCCACGATCGACGAGGAACCAACCTCGATCGATCGGCAAAAAGCGTTTCCACGGTGGCTTCTCCAGCTGGAAGCGGTCACGTACCGATTCCAATTTGCGATCACGATTGTTTCAGCGAGCACGCGAAATTGCCTTTCTTATCGTTCGTTACTCTGTACAAAACACACGCCGGAGAGAACCAGTTGCTCTCCTCGTCGCTCCAACGAAGAGAGGGCTTGAATAATTTACCGCGCCGATCCCGAGGCTTAAGTCTCAATGGCCGCGATTTCGCTAAAATTGAATCGTTGATAAATCATGTAAAAAAAAAAAAAAAAAATTTGTAACGCGACGGGTAAGTTCGACAGAGCGAACGAAACAGGTAGCAGGTTTCGCTTCGCAGGTTATCTTTGCGAACGTGGGAATCAGACAGAGGATCGCCAAGTGTCGAAAGAACGGCCTTGGATGAAATTCTTACGATGCATATTTGCATATCTCTACTCCCTGTTATGATATTTTGTTTCTTCGCATATTGCGTATCGCACATTTCGTGCGTTTTCTTTTTCTGAACGTGTGCGCGCTAATCGAATACCGAGAATATATAACCAACTGTTACAAATCATCTAGATTTACATAATGATTCTGTTGCAACGCTTAAGCCCTACAATATATAACTGCGATGCACACAGCTGCCACGGAAAATAGCTCAACGTGTATCAGCTGTAAATAATGCACAGTCACGATCTATAGAGGATGCGCTCTATTTGTGCAGAATATATAAAACGGCCACTAGTAAAAATATCACCGCATAAATATCGTACGTGTAAATCCGAATCGTTTGTACGTTCGAACGGTGAAAAAAAGGACATGCAAACGATCCCTGTCTTTCGTTCAAAGGCAAGAAGAGCAAAAACCACGTCCACAGACTGAAAATATCTACGAATCAAGCACAAAAGATGCGCTTTTTAAAACGAATTCCCTGTGTCTTAAAAATAACTGACCTGTTAATCTTGCTTCGTTATTAGCAGCGAAAAGAATGGTGGATGACAGTCAAGGAGAAGGTACCACGTAACAGATATTCGCGAATATTTGTCCGACTGTCAATGGACACGCGTCACGCTAGTTCCGGTTTCTTTTCCTGCCAGCCACGCTACGAAACACATTTACGTCAGGACTATGTCCGCGTGCGCTACGTCAAAGCGAACAGACGACGAAGACGATGCCTTTAGGAGGAGCATCGACGATACACGCGACTCGTTTCGTGAACGAAACCGACGCAAAAATACATTTTCTTTGAAAGCCACGGAAGTATGAAAGGAATGAACAAAGACGCGCGCGTACGGGATAACCGCCCCCACCGCGGTTCCCCAGTACCGCCATTTAGTTTAAAATTAAACGCGCAACGTTGCGAATTTTACACGCGCAGCAACAATCAACAAGCACACGGATCCGCGTGCCTCTTGTCGTCTCTCCTAATCTCGAAGATATTCGGAAGGAATTACGAACGCGTCGCAACGCGAAATGGTGATAACACGGCGGCTCCTATAACGTGTGTAGTCCTTTTAACGTGTTCACCTTACATAAGCGAATCCCTCGCACGTGTGTGACAAATGAATTTATCCTTTCCTGCGAGCACAGCGATTCGAATCGTTTCATCGATTCGAGATTTAACAGACTTGTTTACTTGTTCGCTGAATAAATGACGTAAAAGAGAATTGTCGACGGACGCGTACTAAATGGTTGACGATACACGATGGTCGGTAATTGTCGATTGATAATACCGTGACATAAGAGAGGGCGATAATTCAACGCGAGGAGGACCTTATATCGATTCAGGGAGAATTGCAAAAAGACGAGCCCGGTTTTTGGACATTTCGCACAATTAAAGTGTTGGATGATCAACCCGGACAATATTGAATCAATGCAAATACTGACAATAAGCTAGCAACAGTCCACATAAAAGTGGACTGTGAATAGTTAGTCATAAGGGTAAGACCCAATAGTTGGTCATCTATGCTCCATCCCCTTCCATTTGACGATGATAACCAAATATATATAAGGACATATTTTAGAGACATTCTCTCTCATAAAACATTCTAAATCATTACAGAGACATTCTATATCGTTAAGAGTATTAGACATACGTCATATTCTAAGACATTGTATATCATCCTATTTCATACACGACCACGACTGTAAGGGAGTAAACTCTTCTAAATTGTAAGCGTGTTGACTCCATTACACGGAATCCAACAGATGTAACTTTTCGTTTTGCGTAACGAGGAAAGGATCGAATAGTTGTAAAATTATTCAAGATCACGATCGAGATAATCCAACAAATCACAGAATCGTAAAATTCTAAAACCGCGTAGAACAACGTGTGGTTTTGTAATGTAATAAATAACTTGGCATTAGACGATCTAGACAACACAGGAAGCGAATTTGAAGATCCTTTGTTGCTCATATTACAGATACACCATTCACATTTATTGTGAACTATATATATATAGCATTGATAACAAGTTCAGTTATAATATATATATATATATATATATATAGATATAATATATAATGTGTGTCCAGCAAGATTCAATACGAAGATTTCATATTCAAACAGTTTCTCTCGATTTCTGCTAGAATTGCCAGAGAACGGAGCTTGGTTCCTCGTAACCGCAGACCTTTCGATTCTCCTTTGCAACAACCGGATAGCCGTGGCGAGCACATGTGTGCCAGAGAAAATACTTCTTCGTATTGTCCGATCGGGGCAATCTCAGAGGCAGAGACAGACAAAAGTGCCTCCAAGGTTCTAAGAAAAGCGAGTAGCGTATGGAGCGAGTCGAGTTAGATCCTCACCGTCCGGCGAGAGGACGGACAGTCTAGGTTACAAAGTTAGTCGACCATTATTTTTGGTCGAGTTGTCACGGCGTGTATTTCTACCACCGTGCTCGGCACAACACCAGAGAGGCCAGAGACGGTGCAGCCGTTTCGCCCCGATT